TCATGACTGCTGTCTTGAGCTGAGCGGGCTCCATGCTTGCCGTGGTATGGCGTCTGCTGTGTTCACCCAGGAAAAAAGGCGCGAAATGGTTGTCTGCCGTTGCTTTCATGGAAGGAGGGGTGAGGCTGTACCCAGAACCCCCCGTGACAATGTTTTTCCCCCCCCATCAGGCACTGGGCTCTCAACCCAGAATTCCAATGGGCGGCGGAGACTGCAGGAACTATGGGATAGCTATGGGATAACTACCAACAGTGCAACACTCCATAAATCAACGCTAGCCCCGGTACATGGACGCACACTTCCGAATTAATGTGCTTAGTGTGGCCGCATACATTCGACTTTATACAATCTGTTTCCAAAATTCGAATTCTGTAAATTCGGATTAATCCCGTAGTGTAGACATACCCTAAATTCTGCACAGCACTTGTTCGCTTCTTTTGTTATGCTGAACTTTTTGTACATTGTCGTCCCCAATGTATTATTATTTGTATCACAAACGTCTATGGAGCCCAGCCAAGATTGAGATGCCTCTGTGTTTGGCACTGTACAAACAGAGCAAGAGACAGTCCCTGCCCCAAAGAGCTTACAATCTAAACTGACAACACAGACTCAGGGTTAGGAGGAAGGGATAGAACATCTATGGGCTTCTCTTCCCTGCAGAGTTAACTTGAGTCTTGCTCCTAACTTGAGTCCCATCCACACTTTACAGGAGCGTGGTGGTCCTTTTAACTTCAATTGGCCAGCCAGTCAGGGACATAGGCTACAACATGAGTTAGTACAACTCATCAGCTTCTAATGCAACGACTCTGCGTAGCTCGAGCAGTATGTCATAGTGTGACCACTCATTCGAGGTAGGCTAACCCAAAAGGAATTAATTCGATTGTAGATGACTTGAGTCAAGACTGCAGTGAAGACAAGCCCTAAGTAGAGCGAACAATGCGATAATTTGCAAACATTTTTGTACCATAATTTAATTTTGTTTTTTTAATATTTTGGAGTCGGGTTTTGTTTGGAGAGGATTAGCTGAAAAGAGAAATAAGGAAGTAGAGAGGATACCAAGGGAATGGAGCAGGAAAACAAGAAGGGAAGGCAGATGGAGTGAGGCTGTAGTAAAGAGATTATTAGAGGCAGGACTGATAGCACTCTAGTATTAAGCTCGCTTGACACTTCCCATTACAAGACCCTATTTTAAGTTGCTTAAAGCTTTGCCAAACTTTATATGTTTGGACTGAAGTTTTCCATGCTGGATGCCTGCCACAGGCTCACTTTTTTGGAAAATTTCAGCCAAACACGATTCAGCCATTTCTGAGAACAAATCTAGGGAAAAATGTATTTTTCAATATTAAAAACATCAGGCAACCTTTTCTTTGGAAAGCTTTACAATCTCCGGGTTTGAAGCAGAGACTTGACATTTGGCAGGGGAGTGACTTTCATGACAGGAATGTGTTTGTTACCGTCCCTGTAAAAATCCACCCAAATTTGGGAATGTTGTAAGCCTTTGAAAAATTGCAGCTTGCGTATGTTCAGTAGACACTCGCTACAGCTCAAAAGCTAAAGTTTCTGCAGATTCTGTCCTCACTGAGCATGCTCAAGCCTCAACTCCTAGGGCATGCACCATTCCCACAGAGTGACTGAACATGCTCCAGCTCAGGGCTACAGGGGCAAAACCCAACATTCCTTGTAATGGCAGCAACCGGCTGCTCCAAGCTGGGGAACAGAGCAGGGTGCCTTTCTTCCATGTGCTCTCATTGACCCCCTTGTGGTGTAAGGGGACTGTTGCCCCTTACTAACATTCAGTGGGGGTGTTTTGGTTGGCTAGCTCCCAGCACTAAAAGGGGAAGGGTCGATGGGAAATCAGGACCCTGAGACTGACAGTCCCCAGGAACAATGGCGAGAGGCCAATGCTCCAGGTCAGCCTGATTGACAGGGCGGGCAGGCTAATCAGCATGACAGGAGGCCAGGGTGGGTCCCGTCCTCCGTGTGAGTTGGAATTGCCTGGGTCAGACTGAGTGGGGCCGAGCTAAGGAGAAAGCAGAGGCCCAAGCTGAGCTGGAGAGCAGAACCGTGCCAGATCCATAGGGGCCAGAGGCGCAGCCACAGAGCCAGAGACGCAGCCCAGGGAGAACAGATCCTGTGCTGGGAGCAGACACGCAACCCAGGGAGAGCAGATCTTGTGCTGGGAGCAGAGGCGCAGCCACAGAGCTAGAGACACAGCCCAGGGAGAGCAGATCCTGTGCTGGGAGCAGAGCTGCAGTCACAGAGCCAGGTGTGGTGAGCAAGTGGGGCCAGCCAAGGGGGGACCTTGGGCAAAGGGCCCTAGCCAAGGGTCCTTGCAGGCCAGACCAGGAGGGGGACTTTAACCTGACAGGGGGCTGACGCTGGGAAGAAGGGTCCCACCACTCAAAGCCCGGAGGTGTGTGGCCACCACCATTGCAAGTGTCCAACCCGCAGCATCCCTGCAGCACAGCCAGGGCCTGAGAAGGAAATCTGGGACCTACAAGGAACAGACTGTGAACTGCCCTGACGTTCCAGAGACACTGTTGGTAATGTTCCCTGCCACAGAGCGGCGTGATGTGTTTCCTTTAACCTTTCCCATTTTTCCTTGTTCTTTTCTTTAGATTAATTGTTAATTAAACAACTTGTATTTGCTTTAAATTGTATGGAATAATCAGTGGGTCAGGGAGGTGCCCAGTGCAGAGAGGATACCCCGGAGTGGGGACACCCTAGCCCCTGTCCTAGGTGACCACAGAGGGTTGGGAGTTGAGCCCCCCAGGAATCCTGGGCCCAGCCTTGTTGGGGTTACGACGACTCTGCCAGACAGGAGAGTGGAAGGGGAGCCCTCAAGGGCAGGGAGGCCTCTGGGTAAAGGGAGTGGGAGCGAGGACTCAGATCCTTTCACTAGCCCACTTCACCGGGGTAGTGCAGAAACCAGGAAAGTTCCCCACAATAGCGGGACCATTCCCCCGCTTACACTGGCACCCATTCAGTATGGATGAGGAAGCCATCTCATTCAAAAGCAGAGGGGACAAAAGATGGACTGAAGACACTGTGGGGAAGAGATGGGGGAGCAGATTGGCACAAGGAACATGGGGGCAGAGACTGGTACTGGTGGCTGGTAAGGGCAGAGACTGCATCTGGGTTGGCAAGGAGACTAGATCCAGGAGCCAGGAAGGGAAATGGGGAAGAGACATGGAACCAATAGGTGGGGGAGAACATGAGACTGAATGAGAAGTGGGGGAGAGTAATTGGGGCTGGTAGGGCAAGGAGACTGGGAACCAGTAGGGCAATGGATCTGACTAGCAGTCGGAATATGGGGGAGAACTCGGACTGGCTGGACAAAGGGATTGGGACAAGGATTCAGGGAGACAAGGACTGTGGAGAACGTGTGATTTTTGTTAATGTTATTAATGTGCGTGACTCAGTTTACCCATTTACATTGTATTGCTACTCACTGGGCATGAAGGGGTTAATTTCTCCCCATGGGATATGGGAATGACTGTCAGATGTTATGTTGACAGCAGGTCTGTCTGGGTTGAACCCAAATGGGCCATCAAGAACTGAATGAAATTAAACACATGAATGGAGTACCCTAGAGAGAAAATGAAAGACCCAAACAGTCAAACACTGACCAGACGTTAACGCCTGGCAGCCAAGGAAGGAGAAGGTGTGGAACACAGTGGGGCTGCAACTGGGGACAAAAAGACACAGGAGATGTCAGGTGACTGCATTAAGAAGAACTGCGCTCAGAGAGACCAGGGAGATAGACACACAGGGTCAGAGTCTAGAGGAGAAAGAGACTGAGATGGACTACAGGAGACTATGGAAATGTAGACCAGTTGCTCCTGCCACTAAAAACAAAGACTTAAGCTTGACTTTTCCATGCTAATCTAAGATTGTATGTCAGCAGACTAACAAATGCTTGCTCGTTTCGAAAATGCTGCCCTGCATTGCTGCAAATACTTACTGGTTACATTGCTCCCTGAATGAGTACAGCTTCTACCAGGAGTTTTAACTCATTTAGACTCGCTATAGAGCACGTGGCAAATACAGAGGTACCATACTCCACAAGTTCAGTCTCAGAGTTGTGAGACTTCATGGTTTGCCCTTGTAAAAAGTTGTGCCTGAGGCCTGGAAAATAATAGAGGTAGGCCCACAGAGTCTGTATAAAGGCTGCATTAAACCACCCTGTACATCTATGACAAAAGACATGGATTAGATGAGGAGCCTGGAGAAAGACTAGGACTAGGAACCAGTAGGAACAGGGAAAATGGAGTGTGTGGAGTGACTGAAGGCTGGGGACAGAGACAGATAGATTGGGGACTAGGGAAAGGAACTAGGACTGGCTGGGAAAGGAGACTAGGTCTGGGAGCCAACAGGGAGAGGAGACCGTCAGTGGACGAGAGGAAACTGAGATCAGATGAGGAGGCAGGGGGTGACAGCGTGGCAATGCAAGGAGACTAGGATTTAGTGGGCAAGACGACAGATTGATATCAGAAACTTGAGTGAAGACGAACTGGCTACATGAAGAGAATGGGACTGGGATAAGGAGTTAGTGCCAAGGTAAAGACTGGACTGGGACAGGGACAAGTTGAAAGGGTTGGGGCTGAAAGGGTCATAGTTGGGGGCAACAGGTAGAAGAGTGTGGCCAGTAGAGCACACTTCCCTTCAGAGCCTGGAATGGAACCCGAGATTCCTGAGTTTTACCATCCTTCTTCTGTCAGCAAAAGGAGGGATAGCTCAGTGGTTTGAGCATTGGCCTCCTAAACCCAGGGTTGTGAGTTCAATCCTTGAGAGGGCCACTTAAGGATCTGGGGCAAAAATCAGTACTTGGTCCTGCTAGTGAAGGCAGGGGGCTGGACTCTATGACCTTTCAGTTCTAGGAGATAGGATATCTCCATTTATTTATTTAAATATCAGTGGCAGAGGCCTGTGCAGTGAATCTAAAGGATCCAAACCAGATGGTTACCCATGTGAGCATAAATCTGATGCCACATGATAGAAGTTCTTTTTTCAGTTGGCTTGTTTAAAAATCTAGGAAATTACACACACACAAAAAGCAATGTTAAAGGATTATTAAGGTTGCAAGGTCAAGCACTCAAATATTAGAAAACACCAATATTAAGGTTGCCTGTATAACCTTAATTCATTGTATGTGTTACAATAAGTCTTTTTAATTACACAATTACATGCTATTTTTTCCGCTCTGCTCTATAGGTGGAGAAGGGTTGTGATGTGAAGGAAGACATTGTCTGTACGACCCATGCTTCACTTGTTGCAGAAGATGGAAGGTGTGTAGTGTATGAGGCAGGGGATTACAGGAAGAGAGAGAGAATGGTCTCATGGTTAAGGCAATTGAATGCCACCCTGGAGAACTGGATTCTCTCTCTGCCTCTGCCACAGAGTTCCAATGTCATGCTGGGCAACTCATTTAAATCAAACTTTTCATGGATGGTTACTAATTGTTGTTAGTATATAGGCCTGTTTGTTAGCCTGGAATAGAATTTGGGGTTTGACTTTTGATACTCTGATATCCTTACTAATATGTGTGAACAAAGAAACTGTGTGTTACATCTGCCCACAAGCAGATGGGGTGAAAAGAGATAAGAAATGGAGTCAAAAGTGTTACAGGGCATGGTGGGAGTGTAATATATGAGCGTACACTGGAAGGCTGCCTGGCTCCTCTCTCAAGCCAAGGTCAAGCAACCAGTTAAAATCCAAAGAAAGGCCTGGTCATGTCCAGAGCACCACCTCACTCCTTACCCCTCCCATGGGATACAAAAGAGGTGGGACAAAGACCCCAGACTCATGACCCTCCAAAATAGAACAGGACCGTAAGTTGTAAGGGGTGGGACTAGGGGTGTGCACTGCAGGTATATTTGGGCCTGCTAAGGAGGAGGAGGTGGGAATGGGGAACAGGCACACAGGCAAAAGTTCTGTGACGTCAGTGCTAGGAAGGGAGACATGGGGTAAAGGCTCTGCAGTGTCGGAGCTGGGAACGGAACACTGGGAAACAGACTCTGCCGGCATGCAGAGCTATGGATATGCTTGCTTGAAACTAACCCCAATAAACATTGCACTGCCTGCACTTCAGACTTCTGGTCTTCTGTGTGACAAGAATCAGGGGAGGGGGTGAAGGGAAAATCCTCTAACAATTGTGTGTTCCTCTTTTTCTGGTTAGCTAACTTGAGACCATGGGGTTTGATTTACAGAAGTGCTGAAAACTCACAGCAGCAACAAATGTCTATGGGCACTGAGCTTTATATGTTCAAAGTGCTATATAATGGTAGGACCTGATTTTTCACAGTACTTAAGTATCTCAAATTGGGCACCCAGAATTACTGGATACTTTCGACCTCAATCTCCCTGTGTCTCTTGAGTAAAATGGGGATAATACCACTCCCTGATCTCACGGGACAGTGTGGGGGTGTGTATTAGGAAAATAAGTTTGTTAGTGTTTATGAAACATGCAGATACTGTAGTGATTAATACAATTGAAAAAGCACATGAGGACATTAATAATTGTCTTTAGAGCAAGGTTTGAATATTGTGAAATAAAAAAGGGAGGAGACCACACACTGAACAGTGAGGAGAAAGCAAATACTGAATAACTGCTCATTAAGGGCATACAGTGCATTCACTATGACAAACTTTCTGTCTTAGCTATAAATTAATATTTTGAAAACTCCTTTCACAGCCAGTACTCAAAAGTTTTGATCTGTTTAAAACCTAAAATCTGCGATTAACCTTCATGTTTAAGGGTCTTTAAAAAAAAATAAAAATCACAGGGCCTGCAACCACAAGTTTTGTGGGAGCAAAGCCTGATTCTGCTACTAGTTTTATGTGAAGATCTCTCAGGATTAAGTTGGAGGCAGTCCAGACTGAAATGGAGCTTGTAAGTAATTCATTTTGGCTTACTGACATCCCACATAGAAACTCTACATTAATATCCTGATCTATGGCAACAGCTTCATTCACTGGAACCAGCCAGAGGCACTGCTCTAAACTCTGGTAGGAAGCTGCCAAGGTTTGTGTGAGCTGGCATGGCATAACATTACGAATTTCTACTACAACACTGCAATAACATTATTGCATTTTTATGTAAATGTTAACACAGTTCCTTAAGTGACATGAATGTGAAAATACCTCATGGAAAAACACTTTTTCCTCCTACTTAATAACCTTCTCAAGCATAACAGGAAAATGAAGCAGATAAGAAAAATAAATTACCTTCCTTGTATTCTGGTTTCCTTGTTAATTCAGCAGATATCAGATGATTACATTGTGATGGTATCATGTCCATTTCATGTGATACAATACTGGACAGAAAATATACTTATTAAAATATCAAATGGAATATTATTTATTTAAATATATACACTGTGTGTGTGTGAGTGTGAGTGTGTGTAGAGAAAATTTTGTGCATAAAAAGGTGCTGGAAACCAAAATTCTGCTTAGGAAAAACGAATGAGGCAAACAAACAATGAGGAATACACAGTTAAGATTTGCAGGGAAAATATAAAAGTGGTTTTAAAAAATGAGTTGCTATTACCTAAAAAGGATAAGATGAGGTTTTAAAAATATCATCAGGCAGGCAATACAAGACAAAGTAGGGACCAGTATGAAATGACACAAATGACTGCGGTGACTCAATTAATGACTCAAATGAATCACATATTGAACTTGTTTCAAATATTTTAAACAGAAAAAAAATAATTAAAATCTAGGGATGAACAATTAGAAAGAAAGGAAGCACCTGTAAAAATTATTATTAAACAAATAAAGGAATACTTGAACAACCTGGATATATACAAACTTGCTTACCTAGGCAACATGGCCACCTGGGCAATTAAAAAAATTAACTAATGAATTTATTGAACTATGGAAATTATTTTTGAAAAATCTTAAAGAACTGGGGAGATACTGGCAGGCTGTAGACAAGCAAATATTGTACTGATTTTCAAAAAAGTAAAGAAGAGAGTGCTCCTGGCAATTACAATCCTACAAAACTTCTATCACTAGTAAAATAATGGAATGTCAAGGGGAACAAAATCACTAAATATCTAAAGGAGTATGGAACCATGGAACAAAGAATAAATTTTCTCAAGCAAATCTGATTTTTTTATTCTCAAAGAAAAAACAGATGAAGGGAATGCAGTTGATAGAAATTTGGGGTTTTACTGAAGGATTTAATTCTATTTTATTAAATCTTAGTTGAAAATTAATTCAAATAATCTTGGATAGGAATACGGCTGAAAGACCATAAAAAGGTCATGAGAAATGTATGGCGGAGGAGAAAACCGTCCAGCTTAGTATCGAAGAGATTGCCATAAGATCTGGCCTTGCTTAACTTCATTAATTATCAGGAAGGAGGTGTAAACCGTATATTAATGAAATTCATACATGATAAGCAGGAAGCAGGAGTTGCAAATGCCATTCTGAACAGAGAAATAATACAAAGAGATTTAGAAAGATTAGAAACATAGGAGGAAAACAACAAAATGAGATTCAACTTGGAAAAATTCAAGCAAACACTTAACTGAAAAAATGCCACACACACACACACACACACACACACACACACAGGAAAGAACTCGAAACGCATATACTCAATGGAAAGTTGTAATGCCCAAAAAGAGTTTGGCGCGATAGGGAACAAAAAAAATTATACAAAAGTTTGCAATAAAAGGCAATGCAATTTTGGGCTGCATATACAGAAGCATCCCTGCAAGGAATGAGGTTAATAGTCCCCCTGTGTATGGATTTAGTGCAACTGACCTGAATATTGTGTTCAGTCCTTGACACTTCATTATCAGATGAATATTGATAAATTGGGAGTTCAGAGAAGAGTAATGCAAAAATTATCAGGGGCAGCAAGATTTATGAATAATAGATTAGGAGAACTACAAATGGCTGGAGTGGCTAAAGAATGGTTGTGAGAAGCATATGATAATACTTTATAAATATTTTAATACCAAAGAGGGAGAGGATTAAGTGAGAGGATCTATAAACAGTAGTAAAGAAATACAATTATGAAAGTGAAAATATAGGCTGAATATCAGGGACAACTTCCTGACAGTAAAATCTATTGGACTGTAGAAGAATTTCCTCAGGAGAGAGGTGGATACCCTTTTGCTTGGGATATTTAAAATTAGACTAGAAATGTAAAGTAAAAAACATTTCTGCTTTGTTAGGGAGCTGGTGGTGTGTTCAATCTTCAACTTCTGTGATTTTATCCACACAAGAGGTACAGATTTTCCCTACCACCATATTGCTCTACCATTATTAACCCATACAGGGATGACATAAAATAATCAATTAGTAGCTATGGGACAGGTTAGTAAATGTTACACTGATCAGTTTTTCCTCTACTTCCACAGTGTAGAATGCATAGGTTTTCTTCAGATTGGCAGAGAAATTAATATGGTTAAACAGACGCTTAGCACTCCGCATGACAGACAGTATTGTTTCACTACACAACTGTTCTAAGCTGGGAAAACATTTCCCTTCATAGCATCCATGCATATTTTCTTCTGAAGGTCATCTCCATAATACACTATTATGTGTACTGAGCTAGACAACATCCTGCTAGACTTTGAATGTTAATTCATAGCATGTTTAATGGATTTTATACTCTATTGCTATGATTAACTAAAAGCACTTCAATACTAAACAGTTCAATTTCTAACCTGCACTATTTAATATAAGCAGTGTGAAGTAATTCAGATTACTTAGAATGTATTCTGAAAATTGAGGCAGTAAGAAGAATTTCTATGGTGTCCAGCGTCTAAAAGCTGTGTTTTATATCTATCAACATACCTGAATCTTTTTTCTTGGCTTTCCAATAAAAGGAGGAGATATAAAAAGATTTATCCACTGGATTTTCCCCTACAATTAGCTCAAATAGTCCCAGATAGAAACGCACTAAAGTTTTGTTACATACTACCAACAATCCCCCACCAGAAGGGGATTTCGTAACAGCAAGAGGTCTATATCCAGAAGGCATTAATAAATCCTGACAGCTGCAGCTTGAACACAAAGTGGTCACATAGTGCTGTGTTTCCCAGAGAACTTGGTACTCCTACATAGGGGAGGAGGAGATTTCATAACAGCAAGAAATCTGGACAAATTCACAAAAATAGCATTTACTAAGGCTATCACGATCTAGGTCATTAAAAAAAAATTAAAAGGGTGGTGGTGGGGGGGAAAATCATTCAAAAGCCAAGTATTCTTCCAAACATTCAGGGTCACATTTAAAGCAGAGGTCTGTTTGTGAAATGCATGTACAACTGCATGTCTAAATTTGAGTGCACAATTACTACAACTGTAAAAACTGAACACCTGAGAGATTTGTACACTCACATGTTCAATTTGCAAGAGGCAAAATGTAGGCACATAATTGTACATAAATTTCAAATTCAGAAGATACAGCATTAAGTGCATCTATAAGACTCCATGTATCAGAATCTTTTCCATTGTCATCTTCCCCTCCAATCTCTTCTAAAAGGCACAATTATATCAGTGGAGCCACATATGCATGTCTCTGAAAATTATCTTATGTAGGTTGTAAATTCCTCAGGGCAGAGACAGTCTCTTACTCTACCTTTGTATAGCATTAGCCACAATGGAGCCCCAATCTCATTTGCCTATAGGTGCTACTATTAAAAAATAATCATAAAATGAAATCTCACTAGAACTTAAATGAAGAACAGCAGGATTCTACCATACTCAGCAACAATAAATACTGGAGAGCACATTTTATATTTGGGAGCCACTGTCAAACACAACCCATTTAGTCTCAAATGTGAGGCAAGCTAACCACTAGGGCAGTGGTTCTCAAACTTTTTTTTTTGCGGACTACTTGAAAATTGCTGTGGGTCTCAGCAGACCACTTAATGCTCTTTCCAAATGTTGTTTGTACCATTAGCTATTGTAAAGTGCTTTGGATAAAAGCGCTGTATAAAAAACAAACAATGTTTTTTTCCTACAAATAAAAGCACACAACTCATTTTAATATCAGTAGTCTTACCTTTCTAATGCAATGGATGTGCCCTCTCTCCCCCCCTGCGGCAGCCCCCGAGCTGGGGCTGGGAAAAGGGGGGGGGGGTCTCTCCCCTGCCACAGCAACCACAGAGCTGAGGCTGGGAAGCAGGGCCGTCTCTCCCCGACAGCCACAGCCCTGGAGCTGGGGAGTCATCTTTTCCTCTGGCCGCCACAGCCCTGCACATTCCAAATTCCCATCACCCCCTCTTCTCACCCCACTGCCCCCTCCCACTTACCCCCTATTTCCCCCCCAAGGCCACCACCTCACCTTACATGTGCGTCTTCTTCAGAAAAAAAAAAATAAAAAAAAAAAAATAAAAAAGACAGGTTACACCAATATAGATACCCTTACATTGTGGTAAATTAAGTGGGTCTTATGCAGAGTTCGCCAAAATTTAGGGATTTTTGTTTGCATCTAACTGGGATATGTTTCTCCGGAAACAAAACATGAAATTGGCATTCTTGTCTAGTCACTGAACAGTCATGAAAAAGAGAAATATCATTCAATTTCAATTAGCTACTAATTGGCAGAGAGTCTGCCAACTTTGGAAGTCCCAGTTGGAGGCTCCAGCCACATCTCTGGAGGCCAGTAAGCTTTTGGCCACAAAGCTGTCCTGGCTCGAACAGGGACTCGTAAGGCTGCTACCTCAGTGTGGGAAACCTGCCAGCCCCTAGAACTCTGTCTAGAGGGTCTGAGAGGCTCACTGTACTACATCAGGGAGCCTGCCAGGACTCCAGAGGCTGGCAGGCACCCTGAAACACCAATGGGGTGTTCTTGTCAAATCACTGCTGCATCATTGCCAATGTTTCATCTATTCACTAGTCTTATGCAAGGTCTAATGTTGCCTAAGTTTCACATCACCTCTGAATTTGGACAATTTTTGCCCTTGGACATGCTCAGATGACTCCCATGACTTCAAACGGGAGTCATGCACATTGTTGTCAGATTTTCAGCTGCATGTGTTGTGTGTGCCATTCCAGTTCTGCGCAAAACAGGTGGCAAAGCAGACCGCCCAATGACCACAAGGTCCGTTAGATACGAAGGCACCCAGCCAGGTTTATCGTCGATGAAGCCCGGTCCTAGCTCCCGGGATCAATGTCTACAGTTACACTATGCCTGTGACAATGGACACAGCTCAGTGAATGGCCAGAGACACTCCCTTTGAGGCTCCATTTTATATATCAATACAAACAAGTTATATACTGCCCCTCTGGTGTAGTTAATTGACACCCTCGGATGTAGCCGATTACCACCCATCACCTTGTACATCTCTATCCATCACACAATCATCCTGACCTTATCTTTGGGATGGGTCAGTGTGTTCTTATCATCTTTAGAGAATGTGCTTGTATCAAGGTGTTCTGGTACCACCCTTCTGGAATGTGTTTGTGTGAGTGCTCTGTGCCTATTGCAAAAATATGTGTTTTGCGATATCAGTGCTTTTGTCAGATTCTGTGAGCTGGGCTTGCCTCTAGCTCACAGCTTTATATCAGCAAATTTTTGACTGCTACTTTAGACCAGGCCTCTGATAGAAGCGCTTATGTTTCAGTCCCTCTTCCTCCTACACACATCTGAAGGCAGAAAGTATCATTTAAGATTAATACTACAAGAGATTATTCCTCTTTGGATTATGTAAATTCTCATAATGCTGCCATTTCCCTCTTCCATTACCACAGCATTCTGTAAATTTTTTTGCACCATGAATGATGCAGTAAACAACAGACTTGGAACATGAAACTTTTGAAGACAGGCAGACCGAAGAGGATAAGAGAACCAAAACTGAGCAGATTTTCTTTCTCCCTATACTCAGAAATTCTGTACATCACTTCTCAAACTTCACTGAATTGTGAAGTTGATAGATGGTGACGTAATACAACTATCTCACTTCAGTTATTAGGAAATAACACTGACAAATCATCATCAGACCCAATTTTATAAAATAACTCAGGAAAAACTCCTATTTATTTAATGGAAACTTTCACTGAATAAAAAGACCAACACTGGACCTTTTGAATAATTGTCCTGAAAACACTGCAGTTCAAGATTACTAAAACTGTCTCTTATTTAAAGTCTAGTCAGAATGTCAGTGCAATACACACAGAAAAATAAGGGATAATTTACATTTATTCTTTTCTACCAGAGAATTCATTAGAGTATTTACAAATCAAGACTTGATCATAAATCAAAAAAACCAGTTAGCACTTTTTCTTTTTTCTTCCTCTCGTATTCCATGATTTCCCTTTTTTGCCCTCAAACACAGATCGGGCAGTCACCATGACTGTGTTTTCTTCATCCCCATCCTCACCACTTGAGCTACTATTCATGTCTTCCTCCTGTCTCACTGTGTTTTTCTGAATTGCTGATTCCTTGACAATTTTTCCTCTTTTGCTCTTACTTAAAACTTCGCTTTCAGAATCCTCTCCTGAAGACCCACTGGATGCTTCTGACAGCTGCATCTCACCAATGAAACCACCTCCATGGAAACTCTCCTCTTTAGACTTTGAATGTTTTTTCCTCTTTACCCTTTGGCTTTGTGCTGCAGTAGCTCGATCCGTTGTGCCTTGGACAGCTATTTTTCCTTTAGTTTTCTCACCGTGTTTAAATTCTCTTTCTACAACAGCAGTAGCCTCATCAGCTGCTGCTTCTTTTTCTTTCCTCCGCATACAAGTCACAGCTCTTCGAAGTCTCTGGCTCTTAATGGCTTGTTTTTCATGTTGTGCTAGTCTGAAGAATGAATCAATTCGAAGTTGAGTCTACAAGTATACACAACAATTAAAGAGGTGAAGTTTAGATACCATCATGACAAGCATTCTATAAATAAAATAGATTATGCAATAGTCTAAATTGGTGTAGAACAGACTGCTCAAATGAAATATGAATCACAAGTATATACAGAGTACAAGAGATTAGAAGTTATACAATAATATAATTATTCAGTAAATTTTAAAAGCTTCCTTAGAGCAAGAAACACTACAGCCCTGTTTAAAGAAACAAATTAATGGCTAAGCAAGCAAAATTCCCTTCACGTTTTACAAATACTGTGTTCATGCTTCTAACATGTGTTATTTGCAATTACAGCACAAATGGAGACCCCCAGACCTGCACACACACATACTTATTAGCATATTCTCAAATGCAAACTATTAACATAATAAAATGATTGCTTTACTAAATAAACCCTACAACTATGCTTTTCATTTGCACAAACCAGTGAAATAAAATGTTATTCTCATTGATCAAACGAATTGAATGCTTACTGCAACATTTTAAGTCTTAACTGCAACCTTTTTGAAAGAGTCACTTAAGATTTCACATTGTTAAAAGAGTGTGTGTAGATTTAAAAGTTATCAATATATTTGTTATAAAACAAGAAGTATTTTAAAAGCAATTCCTCCATTTATCTGCCTACTCCTATATTCAGGGATCTGCATCTCCTTGCAAGAGCTGATGATATATTACTAACATATAAAGCTTTATAGGGAATACAGTACAACCTCATTTAGCCAAACTGTTTGAGAGAACATTTAAAAACATTCAGAGAGATGACGCTTTACATGAACAGAAGACTGGCAAGCCTGCTTTGAAAATCCTATAGGAGCCAAGCTTCAATGCATCAGAAGTAGGGATTACATGGGGCTTACCTATGCTGCTTTAGGAATCTGTAATATCAGCTACTGCAGTACAAACAGAAGCCTGAACTCAGGAGTTGACAGGCAGCAGAACTATTAGATTTTACTAATTTACAGCATTTAAAATTATACTAAGTGCTTCACAGCACACAAACTGTACAACATTTATGCCCAAAAGAACTTAAAATCTAATGTTATGTCATCATTTTAAAAATATATGTTCTTACAATTTTAATATCTATATACACAAGGCCTAATTCCATGCTGATTTACAACTTGTGACAGCCCACAAGTTCAATGGAATTGCAGGGGTTGTAGTTCAGCACAGAACTTGACCAAGAGTCTGTTAAATGATTTGGGTTTATAATATACTTTTGGTTGAAGCTTTGTTGGTTATTTTAAAAATACTACACCTCTACCCCGATATAACGCGACCCGATATAACACGAATTCGGATATAATGCGGTAAAGCAGCGCTCCAGGGGGGCGGGGCTGCGCGCTCCAGCGGATCAAAGCAAGTTCGATATAAACGCGGTTTCACCTATAACACGGTAAGATTTTTTGGCTCCCGAGGACAGCGTTATATCAGGGTAGAGGTGTAGTTTTTAAATTTTCAAGCCAGCCTTAAACTACATAAAATCTCCAATAACATGATTACCTGTTGTGAGTTCAGCTGTTTAAGTACAGGCAAAAGGGCTTCATCTGTCTTTGTCCTAGTCCAGCCAAAGCAATTCTGACAGAATGTGTAGGCAGTTAAGGTTCATCAAAAATTAAAAAACACTTACTACCAAAGTATGAATGTGAAAAACGGAAGTTCCTCACCTAACCAAGCATCTCTAAAAGATACAGTACAAAAACTTTTAGGTACAGTAAGAACAAAGGAAATGTCAAGGTCTAGTAACAACTATTGCCAGTATCCGAAATGTCTTCAGAAAAGCTTATTCTTTTCTATTATCCATAAACTGTGTTTCAAATAACAAAAAGATCCCTTTGGCTACATCCAATATTGTTGTAAAATATGTTAACCTGAAGAAAAGAAAAAACCCTCAATGTTTGTATATACATCAGAGGCTTCATTTAGTTACCTAACTATGGACCATCCATTTTTAGACACATTGCTGTATCTCAAATTGCAATCAGTGCAAGAAATACATGAACTGTGGCAAGGGATGCTAAATAAAGTGAGGATGAATCACTGATTTTGTTTACATTTAAAGTGAAATCCTCCTCACCTTACCTTTGCTTGAAGTGAATGAGACTACAATATCACTCCTCATGCAAGTGAGACAAGCAGAATTTGGTTCTGGGTTATTGAACTTGCTAATAGACTCATGCATTCTTTTTTATCAAAGCAACTTTGGTTCACAACTCCAACCTGTTATGATTGTAAAAAGATATTCTCTGATCTGTTCTACATCAGGCCTTCCCCAGATGAATGACCCCTTTGACTCATCCACCACAGGTTTCAGGTAAGCTTTTACTACTGCTGGATTTGGGAAGCCAGGACTCAGCTGCAGTTGCTGCAGTTTTTTCTTTACTTTGGTATCATGTGGATTGGGTCTTATTTTCTTATTCTTCTGAACTTCAGTCCACCATTCACTGAAGAGTACAGGAGGAGAAAGACATTCAGTTGTTTCAGTAAAATACATTTTAGACTATTAAGGGCTATCAAGCGAACTTAAACAGCCTTTATTATTATTATTATTATTTCTTATTTGTTTCCAGTAGTACCAAGACATGATAGGCAATTTCCAAACAACAAGCTGGCACAATCTCTGCCCCAAGAAGCATACAATCGAAAGGCACACAGACACTTTAGGGAGAAGATACACAACCTATAAGTACCAGTGGTCAAGGTGATCTTTGGCCACATCTTGGTCTGGACAGTAGAAGTCAACTAGATTCCTCAAAGGCAGCACAACAGAAGTGGGTCTTCAAGAGGTACGTAAATACAAAGAGGGCGATGGCCTTACTGATGAGCTGAGGAAAGTGTTCCACACATAGTGATGATTCTTGGACGACTTTTGTAACAAAAAGTGACTTATGTATATATTTTTTTAAATAAAAAGTCATAGCCCCCGGTAAGCCCACTTCCAAGTGAAACTGCTCCATGAAATTTCAAAAATTTGGCTCCAGTGAACTGTGCTATGGATTTATAAGTGGTTTAAAACAATTTTTATTGGAAAACAGAGAAGCCTTCCTACTTACTAAATTTCTTTTAGTAATGTCTCCTGCTAATCCTCACTAACAGGATCACATGCACCCTTCAGCTCAAGTGCTTTGAAAGGAACAGTGGGCCTTGCCCTCTTGCCAGAAGACTTCTAAAGATGAGGGAATATTACTTACAAATAGTAACAGTTGAAAATACAATCCAACCACACACAGATATTTATAATCCAGAAAAATAAGGAACCATATTCAAAAAATGTTAAAGTTAGAAAGTGCCTGAATTAAGATTGCTCATGCAGCCTTAATTCCAACCCCCCCTCCATGCCCACCCCAGCCTTGCTCATAAGCATGATAGTCTTGATTACATACTGTTTTAACTGGACCCCGGATTCATTCAGTGCACAAGGATAGATGCTGCTAAGAAATATTGAATAGCTAACAATGCACTTTCCATGTGGCCCCATGCCAAACTGGCTGCACAACCATCCAAACCCTGCAGTGAACACAGAATTATTAATTTCTTCATGGGCTTTTCTACGGCACTCATCACCACAATATTCAAGTACTTCACAAACATTAATGAGCTTATCTTTACAACATCCTGTGAGGTAGGGAAATATTATCCTCCCCATTTTACAACTGGGGAACTGAGTCACAGAGGTTTCATTCAAAATGGTCAAAAGTGTCCACTGATTTTGGGTGCCTAACTCAAGACACCTAGGACCTGATTTTCCAGTGTACTCAGCCTTTTTAACACTTAATATGTTCATTGCTTCGCATTCTATGACTTCAGTTGTGTGTGCTCCGCACTCCTACAAGTCTGACCACAGTTATCTAAAGCCGAGTACCCAAATAATAAAGAGCACATAGTTAGTAGACACCTTGGAAAGCTTTGGTTTCAATAACTCACCCAGCATCACATGTGCGAACTCTGAAAGAGACAAAGACAGAATCCAAATTTTCAGGGCAGCATTTAGCTTCCTAAAAAATGGAATAGTCTTTTCCCTTCCTGTGATTCCAGGCCTCATTAGCTATGCACTTTCCAACATCTGCAACAAATGAGCTTGGGGGTCCTACAGACAACACACATTCAGTACATAACCCTGATTCATTCCCAGAACACCATCCACACTGTCCCCTGAGTGAGACAGGAGTTATGTGGGGGGAAAAGTGTCTGTGATCATGTAATTAAAGACTGTATCATAAAGCATATGTATAAGGGGGCTGAATTAAAGGTTGCATAGGACAACCTTAATTCCAGCATTTCTTAACTTTTAAATGCATGACTTTGCAATGTTAACATTCATATAATTTTGGGGGGGGGTAGGGAGAGGGAAATAATATTTCCCAGATTTTAAGAAAAACAAAATGAAAATACAGAAATTCTATCATGTGAAACCATAATGGCCTCCTATATGGGTCATCAGCAGGACCAAACCGTTAGGTCCACAGCACAGACCTGTACTATTCCACCTAACTGATAGGAGTAGCAGGCTGTTACCTTTTATACAGCCCAGCCACTAGAAGGGGATACCTGGTAGCTAGCAAAACAATGTAGAAACTCAGGAATCCTGGGTTCTATTTCAGGTTCTGGAAGGGAATGTGTCTTAGTGGTTACTGACCCTTTGTTACATGCCCTCCTGCCCCTTCTGTTTCTTGCACGTAACCCCACAGCCTGTCTCTTCCCGTCTCTACCCTAACCTTTGTATGTCTCTTTTCAGGCAGTCTAATTCACATTCTTCATTCTCCTCCTTCTACTAAAAAATATAGAACACACCTTCTCCCAAACTCGGGGGGGGCCCATATCTGTTCCACTAGGAGGAGTCCAACTCTGAAATGAACTCTGAAGCAGTTGCACAGTTCTAAAAGCCTCCAAATCTCTCCAGTTTTATTCTATTAGCTACATCAGAACATCCCACTATTTCCTTGCCACTCCAGCTAATAATAACCTAAATTCAGAAGGAGGTGACAGGCAGACTAGTTGAAAGTCTCTGCGTTAAGATAAAAGGGGGAAAAAATAGAGGTGATATCATGGCAGGAATCTACTATAGACCACCAAATCATGAAGAGGAGATGGATGAAGCATTTTTAGAACAAATAACAAATATCTAAAACACAAAACCTGGTAGTAATGGGGGTCTTTAACTACCCAGACATGTGTTTCCCATATTACTTTTCCAACAGAAAATATCCGCTAAAGTCTTAGAATCCATTGGGGTCAACTTCTTCCATCAGAAAGTAGTAAGGGGGATAGCCGTTTTGGACTTGATTTTGACCAACGGAGACTAATTGGTTGCTAATCTGAAGCTGGAAGACTGTTTGAGTGAAAGTAATCATGAAATGATAGACTTCATGATTCTAAGGAAAGAAAGGAGTAAGAGCAGCAGAATAAGGACAATGGTCTTCAAAAAGGCAGACTTTAACAAACTCAGAGAACTGGTAGGTAAGGTCCCATAGCAGTTTCTAATGGGCACAATATGAAAGGCACAACTGCAAACTATTTCAGTGCAAAGGAAACATAGGGAGGATAGTAAGACGCCAATATGACTCCATCAGGAGCTCTCTAATGACCTGAAAATAAAAAAGGAATTCTACAAAAAATGGAAACCTTTCCAAATAGCTAAGGAGAAGTACAAAAGAATAGCACAAGCATGTAGGGACAAAATCGGAAAAGCTAAGGAACAAAATGAGTTACACCTAGCAAAGGACATAAAAGGCAATAAGAAGAGGTTCTCAATCTTTCCAGACTACTGCACCCCTTTCAGGAGGCTGATTTGTCTTGTGTACCCCAAGTTTCACCTCACTTAAAAACTACTAGCTTATAAAATCAGCCATAAAAATACAAAAAAACCCCACTATCACTGAAAACTTGCTTACTTTTTCATTTTTACTATATATTATAAAATAAATCGCAACCCCCAGGTTGGGAAACACTGATACAGCATACAGAGTAGCATAAACAAGTCATTCTCTGTATGAAAGTTTAGTTTGTACTGACTTTGCTAGTGCTTTTCATGTAGCCTGTTGTAAAACTAGGCAAATATCTAGATGTGTTGACGTACCCCCTGGAAGACCTCTGCGTACCCCTGGCTGAGAACCACTGACTTGGATAATGGAGTGGAGCGTATGTTTAGAAAATGTGTAGATGCCACCTGCGAGGGGCTGCACTTCGGAGGACAGGATTAGAATTTAAGATGACCTTGACAAATTGGAGAATGGGTCTGAAACCAACAAGATTAAATTCAATTAAGACAAGCGCAAAGTACTACACTTAAGGTGCCTCTCCCCGCGGCAGCCCTGAGCGCCTGCACAGCACTTCATAGGCGTCTGCAGCGCTTAGCGAGAACTTAGATTACAGTAGATCACAAATTGAATACAAGTCAACAACGTGATGGTGTTATGAAAAAGCCGAATATCATTTTGGGGTGTATTAACAATAGGGTCGTATGTAAGACACAGAAGATAATTCTCCCGCTTTACTCGGCACTGATGAGCCTCAGCTGGAGTCCTGTGTCCAGTTCAGGGTGTCACATTTTAGGGAAAATGTGGATAAATTGGAGAGAGTCTAGAGGAGAGCAAATATATATATAAGTGATAAAACCTGACCTATAAGGAAAAGTTAAAAATACTGAGTATATTTAGGCTTGAGAAAAGAAGACTGAGGGGAGATCTGACAACAGTATTCAAATATGGCAAGGGCTGGTATAAAAAGAGTCCTGTGATCAACTGTTCTCCGTTTTCACTACATGTAGGATGCTGCATATTAAGTCCATTACTACATAAGGGAGATTTAGATTAAATATTAGGAAAAACTTTCTAACTATAAGGGTAACTAACTCCGGAATAGGCATCAAATGGAGACTGTGGAATCCCCATCATTGGAAGATTTTAAGGAAACATTGGCGAAACACGTATCAGGGATGGTCTAGGTTTATGTGATCCTCCCTCAGTAGAGGGGGCTGGACTTAGTGACTTTGAGATTCTTCCAGCCCTATGATTCTATGATAGCTATGTTGTTTTCTATAGTAACCTGTACTCTTCACCTATATTCACAACATCTCTCTTTACACGCTAAAGTGATAGAAAAATATGTAAAACATCTGTATTATGGAAAGAAAAATCAAATAAATCATACGTGAATTTTAAGAGAGGTTCCATTCCAGGCCCAGGGAATTCATTTAAAATCTCCATTGCTGTTACATAGCCAACAGATGGGATTCCTTCAGTGTAGTCACTTCCAAGCAAATAGGCCAAATTAATTAACTTGCTTCTGTCTAACCCTGTAAGACAGAAAACGTAAACCAGACATTACTCTATGAATTTAAACTCTGTTCTCCCAAAGACAACAATAGCACATTATCTGAAAATAAAAACAGTAACAGGAAAAAGTACAGGCATTAACAGAGATCAAAGCTACTCTGATCCAAGGTCAGGGCTTGCTTTACATGCTGGACCAATCTCAAAACATTACTGCTGGCCCAATCATAGTGATTGCCTTAGGGCACTGTATCTGACAACCCCTTCGAGTCAAAATTAAATGCTGTTTAATTGGACTTGCATTAATTTCTGGCCTTTAAGTTACTTTACATCTTTAAAAAAAAAAAAAAAAATCTACGTCTCACCCCATCTTCAATTCTGACCTAAGTTTAGTGGCTTTGGTATCAGGAATTCAGAGACAGAACCAATGCTGCACACAACCTCCTGAAGTCTGGAGTCATAGTATTCAAATGGCTTAAAAGCAGTGGCTCTCTAACTATGCTCCCTGGCTGGAGGCTGATCACACTGTGTTGGCAGGACACAGGGTGATGATGTTCATTGCTTCAAGTTGCATCTACAGGCCTCCAGGCTCTTTTGAAACAGCTGGAAAGGAAGAGGAGAAGTCAACCTAGCTGCCACTACTAGGAATTGGTGTTACAAGATGACAGAAAACCAGAACCACTCCTCAGGGACTGGATCCACCAGCTTACTCCAGAATTACTTCAATGGAGAGGGAGAAGCGTGCATGCTAGGACGGTCCAGGGCAGCAGGAGAGAAAGACCACTGGGCATAGGGAACCATGTGCAGAAGAAAGGAAAAACAGGGAAGATGGCAGACAGAAAGTGAAACTGTTTTTTTCCCCAAAACAGACTAAAACCAAATATATTACTGTATCACAGATAGTTAAAGACAAATAATTTCATAGCACTTCTTTTCCACATAAGCAATTGCAACCTCTGCCACAAAAGGCACAAATAAGGTAATCAGAGAAAAGAGACTCACTTTTATACACTCACCCCCCAACTTTGATATTTTCTCCACTTATCTTCTTGAATTGCTGTAGCTACTCTTGCATATAGAAATTAGAAGTGCTTATCACATCAGCCACAGCACTGGACAAAAACGATGTCTCAGAATTTACTGGGAGAACGAACCACAGCAGGAGAACAAATACTTTTTCGTTATGTAAAACTATTGAGAAGTTCTGCATGATCAATAATCAATAAACACATTACAATATTGTTTCAAATCTCTAAACTGGGAGTTTTATGGTAGTTTTGCCTACGTAACGACTGAGGAAGTGCTAGAATGGGCAGAAATTGTCCCTAATAAATTAGGTGACAGACACACAAGTTCAATAGTTTACTATGTGCCATGGCTAAAAATTTTGTTCAGACCAGTATACTTTTTTGATCTTTGGTCTTGCCCCAGCAATCAGAAGGAAAAATACTACCATGGATTAATTAGTAATTGAAAATCGTTCTACAATGTGATTTAATCCATTAGATCTATTTATAACAGTGTTTGTCAGCATGTCCAAAAGAAACTTCTATTTGGAAAAGCTTATAATCTGCCTATATAAATTTGCTCTGACTAAAACTATGCATGGTCTTTTGTCTTCTTCACACAAAATGTGAATGTTTACAGAAAACAGACTTGCATTTCATACATGGTAGCTACTATTACTATCATAATTAGGTCACTAGCCTAGCCCCAGTGCAACAAATGGCTGTGAATTCAGAGAGATATCTTAATGCACAAACCAACATAGAAGGATGGTATCTGATGTGACTTTGATCTCTCTCAAAAAAAAGAGATCACCACAATAGTTATGATTCTGAATGAGTTCCAGTATTAACAAGATATAGAACAAAACTGCCCATCAAAAACAAGCAAACAAACAATATATCCAGCACTTGCACCTTACCTAGTTGGTTTTGAATATCCACATATTGGTAATATTCCACATACTTGTTTTGACTGAAGAAATTTTTATAAACATGCCGTGCTCCAAATAGCCAAATATCACTATCGTCAGTGATTGTCCCAGATGTCTGATCAGTAAGATCCAAGACAGCACATTGAGCCTCTGCCTCCATAGGTGCTTCAATGTAAGGAACACCAAACAGACGGAGAAGTTCCTACAGGAAGTGAGGAGTGGGGTTAATACTTCATCAAAAAGGATAGCTCATAATACATGCCTGCTTGACTCAAAAATGTGCTTGGTTCACATTTGGATAATGTTTACCCATTCATAGAAAACCTAAACAATTTACATAAAAAAGTAAAAAGGCCAAATCCTACTCATCTTACTCATACAAGTAGTGCCAGGAAAGTCAAGAATTACAAGATCCCCTTACTTTGTTGGAGTTTGAGGATTTTGGTTTCTGACCCATTCAAGCCTATCATAGTTTTCCATTTTCTAGGGGAGGTAGCCCTGGGATGTTATGATGGGGCCTGGAATAGCAGTTTGTGGGGCAAAAAATCTGTATCCAGGATGAGCTGAACTGGAGAGGAGATGGAGGCAGGGACACCCCCCATCCCCAGCTTTCCAACCAAGATGCCATGCTGACCTCATAAAGGAAGAAGGTGGCCTTCACCAGTTGGATAGGTCATTATTTTGTCAACTATACTCTCTTTGGATCTAATTCCACAAGCTTAACACATGGCAAGTAGCACCTTATTCTGCGAGGAAACCCATTACTACGCAATGTGAGCTAGGATGGAAGAAGACAGTTCAAGAATATAAGGTGTTATGCAAGCTGTATTTAATGAAAATATGTACAGGAACAGGACTGTACTATACTTCAAAAGCATGTGTCCACTGGCTCTCTTTTTTAAAAAATGGTTAAATGAAAAAGAAGAATATATCTAGGAACAGAGTATCTCAGTGCAGAGACAAAACACCACAAATCAGTTTTTATAGATTTTGAGGTCTTCTCTGAACATCTAGTCTTATTCTCCTGCAAAACACATGCCATCTAATTTCCCATAGTAACTTCTGCAACAAACCCACAACGTCTGGTTGAATTAGAGAATACCTTTCAGAAAGACATCTAGTCTTGATTTAAAGACTTCAAGTGACAAAGAATCCACCACGTTCTTTTCCAAGTTGTTCTAATGCTTAGTTACCCTCACTGTTAAAAATTGGTGCTTTATTTCTACGCTGAATTTGTCCACTTTCACCTTCAAGCCACTGGATCTAGTTATAACTGTCTGCAAGATTAAGCACCCATCTGCTATCAGAAATCTTCTCCCGATGTTGGTACTTTTAGACCAGGGGTCGGCAACCTTTCAGAAGTGATGTGCCGAGTCTTCATTTATTCACTCTAATTTAAGGTTTCACGTGCCGGTAATACATTTTAAAGTTTTTAGAAGATCTCTCTCTAGAAGTCTATATTATATAACAACTATTGTTGTATGTAAAGTAAACAAGGTTTTTAAAAATGTTTAAGAAGATTCGTTTAAAAAATTAAAATGCAGATCTTATCAGTTTAGTGCAGTGGTTCTTAACCTGGGGTGCATGGACCCCCTGGGGGTGCGAGATGCCCTTTCTGGAGGTGTGAGACATGGGAGATTTTTTTTAAGAAGGTAAATCATCAAAAATACAAATTAAGCACAGGCACGCAAGTACAGGCGGTCGGGGCAGGGGGCCGGGTGGATGGAACCCCAGACCAGCAGCGAGGTGAGTGGGGCCGGCGGCTGGTATCCCAGGCCGCAGCAGGCTGAGCAGGGCCGATGGCCGGACCCCAACTGGCAAGGGGCCGGCGGCAGGAACCCCAAACCGTCAGCGGGCTGAGCGGCTCAGCCCACCCCCGGTCTAGGGTGCTATCCGCCAGTTCCTGCCAACCCGGGTCCCGGCCGCCGGCCCGCTCAGCCAGCCTCACCCAGACCCACAGCGGGCTGAGCAGCAGTGTCCCAGGAAAGGGAAAAAAAAAAAAAAAAAAAAAAAAAAATCGGCTCGCATGCCATAGGTTGCCGACCCTTGTTGTAGACCATGATCAAGTCACCTCTTAACTGTTTCTTGAATAAGCTAAATGCTCCCTCTAATTTTTCTCCCTGTACTTCTCAATTCCAAAATGACTGAAAACAAGCTAAGTAAATCACTAACTTAGAGAGGAAAACACCCAGCCTCCTTAACTGGGTAATTCATTTGTTTCAATACAAGTTACTCAAGTAAATATTCTTTTAGGAAAGTGAAGTATTACAAGGCTTGAAAAGTCCTCAAGCATGTCTGACAGCAGACACCACTTTAAATTCTGGTGTTCCCAATTTACAGATTCCAGGAAGTCCACTTTGTAAAACTGGAGCACCCTTCACGTTAAATCAATAGCAATAGTGAAGACCAAATGATGTAGCATAAAACAGGAAGACAGAGACAGTTGTGAGCAAGTAATTTTATAGCCATATTTCTGACCATGGAAGATAGCAATAACATCCTAGAAGTTTTTTATTTTTCTAAAAATTCTTATAATAATATGAATGAATGGTATATTTACATGTCTCAATGGTGCGGATAAATCTTTAGAAAGGTGTTCTGATAAAAAGGTTTCAGACTGGACTCTGCTAAATGTGCTGTTATGCGACATAACTCCAGTTATGCGCACACATACACCCCAATCTATGGAAATTACTCTCCCCATTTCTTCTCCTTCCTCCTTTGTGCAAAGCGTCGATGTGCGTTAGTGAATCATTTTTTAGTGTTTTCAGGCTGATCTTATTCATTTTTATCTAATGCTACCAAAGGCTATAATGTTTACATTTTTTTTTTTTTTTTAGAGCTGTTGATTAATCGCAGTTAACTCATGCAATTAACTCAAAAAAATTAATTGCAATTAATCGCAGTTTTAATCACACTGTTAAACAATAGAATATCAATTGAAATTTATTAAATATTTAAGATGTTTTTCTCCATTTTCATATATAGTGTAGTCTGTGTTGTAAATGAAATCAAAGTGTATATTATTTTTTATTACAAATATTTGCACTGTAAAAGTGATAAACAAGAGAAATAGTTTTTCAATTCACCTCATACAAGTACTGTATTGAAAGTGCAACTTACAAATGTAGATTTTTTTTGTTACGTAACTGCACTCAAAAACAAAACAATGTAAAACTTCAGATCCTACAAATCCACTCAGTCCTACTTCTGCCAATCGCTCAGACAAACAAGTTTGTTTACATTTACAAAGATAATGCTGCTTTCTTCTTATTTACAATGTCACCTGAAAGTGAGAATAGGCGTTTGCATGGCACTTTTGAAGCCGTCTTTGCAAGGTATTTACATGCCAGATATGCTAAACATTCGTATGCCCCTTCATGCTTCGGCCACCATTTCAGAGAAAAATGCTTCTATGCTGATGACGCTTGTTAAAAAAATAATAATGTGTTAATTAAATTTGTGACTGAACTCCTTGGGGGAGAATTGTATGTCTCCTGCTCTGTTTTATCCGCATTCTGCCATATACTTCAGCAGTCTCGGATGATGACCCAGCACATGTTCTTCGTTTTAAGACGACTTTCACTACAGATTTGACAAAACGCAAAGAAGGAACCAATGTGAGATTTCTAAAGATAGCCACAACACTCAACCCAAGGTTTAAGAATCTGAACTGCCTTTGTGTGGGGCATGCTTTCAGAAGTCTTAAAAGAGCAACACTCCGATATAGAAACTACAGAAACCGACCCACCAAAAAAGAAAGTCAACCTTCTGCTGGTGGCATCTGACTCAGATAATGAAAATGAGCATGCGTCAGTCTGTACTGCTTTGGATTGTTATCGAGCAGAATCCATCATCAGCATGGACCCATGTCCCCTGGAATGGTAGTTGAAGCATGAAGGGACACATGAAGCTTTAGCGCATCTGGCACATAAATATCTTGCAACGCCGACTACAACAGTGCCACGAGAATGCCTGTTCTCACTTTCAAGTGACATTGTAAACAAGAAGCGGGCAGCATTATCTCCTGCAAATGTAAACAAACTTGTTTGTCTGAGCGATTGGCTGAACAAGAAGTAGGACTGAGTAGACTTGCAGGCTCTAAAGTTTTACATTGTTTTATGTTTGAATACAATTATTTTTTGTACATAATTCTACATTTGTAAGTTCAACTTTCATGATAAAGAAATTGCACTACAGTACTTGTATTAGGTGAATTGAAAAATACTATTTCTTTTGTTTTTTTACAGTGCAAATACTTGTAATCAAAAATAAATATAAATACCTACACTTTGTATTCTGTGTTGTAATTTAAATCAATATATTTGAAAATGTAGAAAACATCCAAAAATATTTAAATAAATGGTATTCCATTATTGTTTTTTTTTAAATTGCGCAATTAATTTTAACTGCTTGACAGCCCTAATTTTTTTCAGCTATCCCTTGCTTGAACTGTGTTCTGTACCCTGTTAAAGTCTGTTTCAAAACAATTTGCTCAGTTTTTACTGTTAAATTAGGATCAGTTACAGCGTTAATAGTCTGTCTGCCACCATGTGGCTTGCAATATCTCAAGCTCTTACCAAAGTACAATTAATTGGCGGCGTGGGGGGGGGAGGGGGGTTGTTTAAAAATCACATCATGGTGAAAATATGAGGAAGCTTTTTAACCTGAGAAACTAGGACACAATTTATACCATATGAACTATCCCCCTTTTCCTCCAAAGAAAGCTTGCAAATTAGTATTTTGGAACACGGTTTACAAGTATTAGATCATTTATACCACCACTGCGCGTTACTTCATGGGGTGTCAAGTCAGTATAGTCTTTAATCAAGATCAGATACCTTTAAACCTATAAGTATTTAAATCAAGATAGGATCTCTTTCTAAAAGATATGCTATAGCTCTAACAAAAGTTATGGATTTGATGCAGAGATTACTGGGTGAGGCTCTTTGGCCAGTGGTATGCAGGAGGTCAGATAATCATCATAATGGTCCCTTCTGACCTTAAAAATCTATTAATCTATAGGAAACCTTAACTGGCTACAGTTTACCTGCATTAAAATTAGAGTGATTCTATATTATTGTGAGGGTTTAATATTCAAAGGATTTTGCATGGTTCACATGCCTCATACAGCAAGAGCCAAAGATCAAATTCAGGGTGGGGTGGGGTGTCGCTCCCTCTTTACAGTGTTGTAGAGATAAAAAAAGTCAGGGGTAGCAATCAAGCACATTTTTCATTCAACTATGGTAAATACGAAATCTAAGCCCCACAAAAGTGAAAAATCTGTAAGGATTCAAAAAAATACTATTGTGCATATGTGCAGTAACCAGAGCCTGATACAGCAAGTGCTTACACGTCCAAAAAAAATAAGCTACTAGCATGACTTCAACTGGTAAGAAATGCAGAAAAATGAACACACACAAAGCTTGATATGGCACACACAGAAGCATAACTAAAAAAAAAATCTTTTGGCTTTTCATAGAATTATAGAAATGTAGGGCTGGAAGGTACCTTGAGACGTCATCGAGTCCAGCCCCCTGTGCTGACCATCCTTGATGTGTTTTCTGTTCTTAAAAACCTCCAATGATGGGGATTCCACAACCTCCCTGGGAAGCCTGTTCCAGAGCTTAACCACCCTTATAGTTAGAAAGGTTTTCCTAATATCTAACTTCAATCTCCCTTGCTGTAGATTAAGCCAATTACTTCTTCTCCTTCCTTCCATGAACAAGGAGAACAATTGTTTGTGTGTTTGTATATTTTCAAAAACTGTACATTTCAACAGTACAGTTTTTAAAAAGTTTCAGTTCAAACAACATTAGGTACAACTTGCTGCACTTCACCTTATAAAGGCTTTTTAATTTCTACTCAATCTTACTGCTCCCTTCTCTTGCCCCACACTAAAAAATATAAGCTTGATATTTGAAAAAAAGGGAAGATATTTTCCCTTATTCATGAACTATAAACCGTAACTGTACAGTGTAACAGTAGTTACTTCGAGCATTTTGAATCTGTGACATGTTCTCTTAATATTCTCTCAAGTAGGCTGAGGAAAGAAAACAAGCTCGTACGCAAGAAAAGTGACCCAGAATTAAACAACATTATAAACAGTTTTTGACATACTGTTTGACTTGCCAAGAAGTACAAACAAGGATTTTTATTTTTAATGTCAATATGAGCGTCAAACATTACCTGACTTTCCAAGAACATCTGTCCTGTTACAGTGGCAGCAATACGCTCCTGCTGTTGTTTTTGAGCCTGAAGTATGTTTTGCTCAACAGAAAGGTTGTTCTCCAGAGCTTCCAATTCCTCCTGCATATTAAATAAAAGCAAAGTTTGGTCATACCAACAGTGAAGTATATTAATTGTTTATACATATATATATGTGCTTGACTATAATTACAACAGAAGCCTGTGCACCACTAATTCACACAGATGCCTGTAAGTCTTCATACTCTCCAAATGAAGCACATCATAAGGATATAAATAGAAGAGCTGAGCACTCACAGCTCCCACTGACTTCATCTGGAGTTGTGGGTGCTCAGCACCTCTGAAAAAATCAGGCTCAATATATTCTGTACCTTTCAAGCAGACAAATGAATAAGACAGGGATGAAGCCAGTAAGTTAAAGGAGGCACACGATAGCTCTGCCATAAGTGTCCATTCAGTAGTGTCCTTTAGAAAAGCAATTTAACTGGAGATTACTTTACTATTCACTCAATATAACTAACAAAAAACAAGTATCATTACCAAACTAATATCTTGCCATTCATTCACTGCATCTTCCCTGTCTTTTTCCGTTTCAGTATTCTGATGAATAGTCAACTGCACTTCTTCAGCAGCGTCTTTAAGGAGGTTCTCTGTGGCACCATCATCTCCTTCCTTCTCCAGTTCTGTAGCTGCTGCTTCAACAGCCAATGTCTCATCAGGTTCAGAGGGAGCATGTGATGTTTTAAATATTTCACCTGGAAACTCAGTGTCATTACTAATTTCACTGTCCACTTCAATAAAGCTACCTGCATAAAGAGGGGGGAAAAAAAAGCACGATTTCTTCCTCATTAAGGGGGAAAAAATACCATACTCAACTCCTAAGATACATTCATTTTGTTTTTTATTTCCATCAGACAGAATTCCATGCTCCAGGACTCCTCTGAGCAGTCCCACTGTTAGATGTGGGCATTCCCTACTTCTCTCTAAAATCACCTAAGAACTTTTGCTGCTCTCACAGTTTCTGTAGTACATTTTTTTGTTTCAGACTAGTGATGTCCTAAGCAAACAGAATTAAATATTGTCTGAACTGGCTTTACATTTTTCTTTATTTCCTTATAAGATTGATACTGATGTAGAGTGTGAAAGCTTGAAGAGTCTTTACAGTTAAGATAAGACAGATTTTTTCTTTGGAAATATCAGCAATTGGCCTTTTTTTATTCATTCAGTTTTTAATAATTTGTATTGACTTGATGAGAACTGCAGTTTTACTTTCTCCTCCACTCAGTGTAAAGTTTTCAGGATTAATGCTGATAGGAATGTAAAGATATAGCCACAAAAATAAAGACGACGTGTGATTTAGGAAATTTTAAGTTTTACTTAAGAGTGATTGATTTATTTAGAGGAAAAAAGGAACGGGGGAGGGATGTGTGAGCATGAGTATATATCTATGTTTTTCCTGTTGCGTAGAACTTCCCCCAAGAAAAAAAAAATAATCATGTTTAATAGCTTCTATATGGTATGACTTCTGCAGAGCTTTTCTATCAGAAACCTATATTATATGTAGGTATGTGTGTGCGTGCGCACACACACACACACACACTACCTACATATATACACATATACATATATGAGTTGGCTTGTTTTTAAACAGAAGATATCACTCATTACTTTGCATAATCTTATTTTTAAATGAGTAATGAAATTGTGACTGTGTGTGTAATAAAAACAGAAGATAGAACAGAGCATAAAATGTTTACAGTTTTAAATGCATTGTATAGGAAAACAAAACAGTTGAAAAATAAATTTTAGTGTAAGTCTTTAATGACAGGAGCAAGCATCTGAATGGCCTCATCCCTCAATGAATTTCTCTCTTCACCACTGCTATGAGAGGAGGGAAGTTTACACCCATGAATCCAACATACATGAGGGGAATACCACCCTTCCTGCTGACCTCACAGTTCTATGGGTAGGGAAGGGCAGCAGGTGTCTGCCAGATTCTACACCAAGCCCACATATCAAAGTAGTTCAGATTAATTTATGCTGCTTACCTCTCTGTGCCATGGAATTTCCTCACCCCGTCAAGGTGGGATCCAGGTGCAGCAGACAGGTAAGACCTTAGCAGCATGACTTTTTGCATGAGCCAAATTGTTCATGGAGCTAGGGGAGCTAAAGTGGCTGACCATCAATACAGAGTTTGCTCAAATTTAGGGAAAAGAATGGTAAATTTTGCCTTCCCCGCCAAAGAATTACATGAAACTACAGATTTCAATTACCGCGAATGGCAATAATGTTTATTATATAGTAGTGCGGGAGCATCATTACAGTTTAAAGGTCAACCTTTCTAAATCCTCTAAAATGGACACACACACACAAATTTCAAAGAAATCTGACTATCTCCGGAGGTTCCAGGATAGGATTAGTGATGCAAATTTGGAGTCATTCAAACCAGGGGTTCTGGAAATAAGCCCTTCCAAAAAATGACATTTTAAAAAAAAGTTTCTAGGTAGGTTTTTTTTTTTGGCCCAGAGCTAGAAATTAACCTATTGATGAGATATGGGTCAAAAATGGTTTCAATCTGCAGCATTTTACCTAAGGCAGTGCATGGTACCCACTAAATCTTTGCAGGACCCAAATTGAAACAACATTAAAGAAAATATACATGTTTACACTGTACATGTACCAATACAGAGAAAGAACTAGAGGATTTCCATTCCAACTATTTTTTATGCTTTAAAGCTCGAATCTTGTAAGTGGTCTAACATCCAAATGTTTAAGTGGACTGCTTTGAAAATTGGTGTGCTTCATGGAGGTGCGGAGTAGCATTAGTGATTCAAATTTGGGTTCATGACCAAAGGAATCCTAAGTTACAGACCCCCCTGCCCCTCCAAAAAATAATAATAATCTGTTTCCTTCTGTTGCCTTGGACTGTTAAACTGAGCTAGGAACTAATGACTGGGTGAATCACAGACCTCTCGAATCCTGTGACCCTACCCTTCAACATCACTAAGGATAAGGAAATCACAAACCACCACCTAAGACAAAAGGACTTAGGAACCAAGTAGCTGTTGGTTGCTACAATTTGTGAATCACAAGTGGCAATTTTATTTTGTGGGGGAATGAAATCAAAGACATGTGAATGCTTCCTGGGAAAGGAGGGAAGTGGGAGTGAAGAGAGTGGGAATAGGGGTGAGAGGGGTTTGGGGCTGCAGTCAGGAGAAGGGGTTTATGGGGAAGGAAATAAATGGGGATTGGAGGTAGGGGAGGCAAGGTTAGGAGCTCAGGTCAGGGAGGCCTGGTACCCCTCAGCTCTGCCGGCACACCATCACCTCTCTGCACTCCAACACTATTACACTATAAAGAGTTTTCCTTGGCTCTAGGCACTGCACTGGAATCAGATTATAGGAAGGGTGAAGAAATAGCAATAGAACTGTTTTTATACTTCAGAGAAATGCTTGCTTGTGGTGGGAAGGCCTGGATACAGTAGTGGGGAGCGGGGCAGGTTGGATGGAGGAAAGCACTGAATCAGTCGGGACATAGTTGGGGAGGGATGCTGAAACAGGGCTGGTGAGAAGTGGCAGGAGGACAGGCATGGGGAGGATTGCGGCTGTCTCAGTATGCTAACTGCAGGACATGATCTATACAACTACCTAAATGACGACTAACTCCTACCAAGATCATTTCCTGTTCAAAAATCGAGGCAATTCAATGGCAAAAAAAACAAACTACATTAATGCAGAGTTAGGGCTGCTGGCGGTATGTTGTCCTCTTGCAGAACACTTAGTTTAGCAAAACTCAAATGTCTGAAAACTAGGAAATGCAGTTAAGGTTGCTCATGCACCCTTAACTCTGTCCTCTTTCATCAATGCCCAATGTGGCTTGTTAACACACCCTGCCAACCCCACAGTTCCCGAAATGTATAAGCTGTTCACCTCCTTTTTCAACCCATTTCATCCACAGGGTTCCAGCTAACACAATGAAAGGGCAAAAAGAGATGGGGAAGGGGAAAGGTTGCTCACACCACCTTCCCTCTACCCTCTTTGAGCAATGCCTCACTATGCATGTAACACATACTCAAAGAGGCCCTTAGCACTAAGATTCAGGAGGTTCCAGATCCTGGTGTACAGTCACACACTTAGCTACCTCCTCAGAGAGAATACCACATGTAAAATTTAAGGACCACTTCACAGCATTTTACAGCTCTCTTACACTTACTCACAGGATACACTCTCACTTTCATGTAACCATCATTTAAGCATTAGAATCATGTTCCCCCTCGTTGCTGACAATGCCCTTTGTAAGAATGCTCCTGTGCCCTGCAAATTATACAACATATACACAATTCTAAACTGAAATGATGCATACTGCATCCTGAAAGTACATGTGCAGCTCTTCCCTTATCACTGACACCTCAGTGTGCAAAACATAGATCTCCTCATATCCTAATCACTGCCCTGTCACACATGTCCACATGTCACAAACACACCTTACTTGGCAGGCCCAACTGCTGCCTCCACCATTTAGTGCAGGTACACCTAATACACTGACTGCGCCTGGAGTGTTTGCAAATAATTCCAATTGACTATTGCCAGGGGAATAGAAGGAATGTGGCATGGTCAACTGCCTCTCCGTTCCCTTCCCCCCATAGTATTAGATGGAATCCTGTAGGTGAGAGAGAATGAGTGGATTGTAAAAGGAGGCAAACAGCTTATGCATTTCGGGAACTGTGGGGTTGGCAGAGTAAAGGTATCTGTGTTAACAGGGTGGATTTGCTGAAAGAGGGCAGAGTTAAATATGCATGTGCAGCCCTAACTCTGCAGTTCCTGGTTTTCAGATGTTGGAGTTTTGCTCAACTTAACATTCTGAAAAGGCACAACATACCACCAATCAACATTAACTCTGCCTTAATATAGGTTTTTTTGCCAATTAATTGAATCATTGGTCAAACTGTTAAGATATCAATTGACAGCTGACGTATATTGTTAGTCAGTTTTTTGCTCCCAGAGGATCAGAGAAAGTTTTATATTAAAATTGGAGGAAATCAGTTACTTATCAAGAGAAGATGTATTTATAGGTTGCCAGATTTATTGAGAAAACACAACTAAGAATAGAACCTCAAATTTGAGGTTCTAATCCAAAATCAGACTTGGATATGGGACAGAAGTGTTCTTCCCTGCCGAATTAAGTTATTATGGAGCCTAAAATCGGTTATTTCTATATAAGGAGACAAAAGGGCTTATGGACACTGGTCTCTTTTCCCAGGGACTAAGATGATCATGTCAAACCATTGGACGATCTCAATCTTAGAAAAAAAAAAAAAATCTTATTTGCCTGAGTTCTGGCAAATCCCAGATCACTCAGTTAACAGTTTATACCATATACTTTTAAAAATGAATATAACATTTGGATACCTAAATACATTTTGTTATTCAAATGACTACTTAACTCTTGCAGCATCACAACCAAATGCAAAGGATGGTCTGGGTATTATTCTTTATACAGAACACTTTTATATGAACAGTTCTGTCATGCCTACTGTGCTTTGCTACATTGCTGTTGCTGGGTTTTTGTAAAGAAAAATTTCCAAATAATTAATTTCTCTTTGACAATCAGAAAGACTGAATACTGCTGGAATATTAAGCGTAGTATTGGAAAGTTCTTCTGATTTATAAACCAGTATCAAAACAAGACAAATTTAGGAATGATCTCTGAAATGAGGCTCATCGTAATTACAGCAACTGTCAGTCCCTCTTCAAGAAAATATTGATTTGTGAAAGAGGATAAGAAATCATCATTTTAATCAAATACTCTCATTTCAAATTCACAATCCGATAAAATTACTTCTCCCTACAATTAAAGTATAAAAAAAATTCCATATTAAAAACTGCTTTGTACTTAAAAAAATAAAAAAAATAAATGAAGCACTTCTTCCTATCTACAAGAGATTATATATTTAATTGTCAATAAGGCCAAATTTTAAAAAAGTCATACATAAGAGATGTTTTAAAAATACAGCTTTGTCTCTATTAGAAGAGGTAAATGCAAGGGTCATGTCAGTAGATTGTAAACTCTTCAGGAAGGGAATCTTGTCTTCCTGTGTATCTGTTTTGCTCAACAACTTTATTAATGATCTGGATAATGGGATGAATTGCACCCTCAGCAAGTTCGCAGATGACACTAAGCTGGGGGAAGAGGTAGATATGCTGGAGGGTAGGGGTAGGGTCCAGAGTGACCTAGACAAATTGGAGGATTGGGCCAAAAGAAATCTGATGAGGTTCAATAAGGACAAGTGCAGAGTCCTGCACTTAGGAAGGAAGAATCCCATGCACAGCTACAGGCTGGGGACCGACTGACTAAGCAGAAGTTCTGCAGAAAAAGGACCTGGGGATCACAGTGGATGAGAAGCTGGATGAGTCAGCAGTGTGCCCTTGTTGCCAAGGCGGCCAATGGCATATTGAGCTGTATTAGTAGGAACACTGCCAGCAGATCGAGGGAAGTGATTATTCCCCTCTATTCAGCACTGGTGAGGCAACACCTGGAGTACTGCGTCCAGTTTTGGTCCCCCCACTACAGAAGGGATGTGGACAAATTGGAGATAGTCCAGCAGAGGGCAACGAAAATGATTAAGGGGCTGGAGCACATGACATATGAGGAGAGGCTGAGGAAACTGGGGTTATTTAATCTGCAGAAGAGAAGAGTGAGGGATAGCAGCCTTCAACTACGCCTCTACCGAGATATAACGCTGTCCTCGGGAGCCAAAAAATCTTACCGTGTTATAGGTCAAACCGCGTTATATCGAACTTGCTTTGATCCGCCGCAGTGCACAGCCCAACCCCCCTGGAGCGCTGCTTTACCGTGTTATATCCGAATTCATGTTATATCAGGTCGCGTTATACGGGGTAGAGGTGTACCTGAAGGGGGGTTCCAAAGAGGATGGAGCTAGGCTGTTCTCAGTGGTGGCAGATGACAGAACAAGAAGCAATGGTCTCAAGTTGCAGTGGGGAAGGTCTAGGTTGGATATTAGGAAACACTATTTCACTAGAAGGGTGGTGAAGCACTGGAATGGGTTACGTAGGGAGGTGGTGGAATCTCCATCCTTAGAGGTTTTTAAGGCCCGGCTTGACAAAGCCCTGGCTGGGATGATTTAGTTGGTTTTGGTCCTACTTTGAGCAGGGGATTGGAAGAGACCTCAGGAGATCATCTAGTCCAACGCTAATATTCTATAATTCTATGTTCAGCAATTAGCACAATCGGGCTCTAATCCTGATTGGGGCCTTGGCTACCACAATCAAATATGTAAAAAAAAACCAGCATGCTGCACATACCATCTGAATCACTCTCTTCAGACTGTGATTTCCTTTGCACTCTTGCCTCATTAGGATTTGCTATTTCTGGAGTGACTGAAAGTGAATGCTGTAGCTCAGAAGTATTCTTTTCCGCTTTTGATAAAACACACTCTACATTTTCAGATTCCCCGTTGTTGGAAATTTCTGTAGTTTCTGAGTGAGTCAGAGCTACTGAAGTGGTCTTTGTTTTGGAACTTATTGGTTTCTGCATGCAAATATTCATATTTTCTTGCAGAGAACTTGAATCCATTTTTGCAGTGTAATCTTGTTCGTCTTCTGTCTCTTCTTTATCTAGTCTAATGATTTCAACGGAGGAGTCATTTTTAACACAAGGTGTGCACACACCTTTAGGTACAGGGATTAGAAAAAAATCTGACTGACTTTTTTGGTCTGATTCACCATCTTGCATAAGGACTGTGTTTGTTGAAAGAATTGTAGGTAAAAGTAGCGGCTCTTTTCCATCCTTAATTTTAGGAACCTCATCTTCCTCATCTGAACTACTAATAAGATCCTTCACCCCTGACATCTCCATTCGTGTTCTATCAGCACTAGTGGTAATAACTGCTCTGACATCATCATCATCATCATCATCATCATCATCATCATCATCATCACCACCACCACTTAGAGCTTGCTGAACAGCCTGTAGTGTTCTTGGTGATACATTGCCTTCAACTATACCGGGGCAGAGAGTGGCTTGGTCCAAATTCAGCTGCCTTTTATCCTCATCCTCTGGCTCCTCTTCTGAGCTGCTTTCTAACATTGCTGCCTGTATAGCAAGCAAAGTTCTGGGAGAAGGAGGTGCTCCAACTGCACTGCTAGCCTTCTCGGTCTTTAACTTTTCAGGTGAAGGTGGTTTGGTACTAGCATTCATTTCATTATGTATTTTATCAGGTGTATTATATTTAGGTCCTGTGGAAGAATGCCCAACTGAAAGAGTTTCTAAGTGTGTACTGGTGGCTTCCTTTACTTGAATACCTGAAAACGAAAAAGACTGCTAAGTTTCTTCATACATAACTGTTTATATATTCTTTTTCTGCTATAATGAATTGGATTTAAAATCATAAGAAGTTGGTGGTTGATAACCAAGTCTTTTATTACTCTATTTCTCTGCAATTTAATAATTAAGCTTAGTGTTATAGTTCATCATACTGAAAGGATCAACTACAGTAAACTCTTATCCG